AAGCGTGGCAATTGTTTGGAAAAAACAAAGCTTTGTTTTTCTGTGGCGACACCGCGGTTCCGTCCTCATCGGAGTCCGAGCACGAGAGGTAGACGGTTGAGTTGGTGGCGGTTGAGGATGAGAACCGATCCGTGTCTTCGATTGTTTGATCACTGCTTTCGGGTTGACGAGGGACGGTATGAAGAACGTGTTGGTTTATGATGTGAGATTCCCTGATAAGAATGCAGCTAGGGTTGTGGAAAACAAGCTTCTTGTGTAGAGTAGTAAGAAGTTTGGAAAATTGGAATAGAGGCTCTCTCTTTTTGTTCTTGGTTGAGTAGCCTTTTTCTAGAAGGTAAAGGTCAAGGATGAAAGGGTCTTGTTGTTCCTTTAGAAATTCTGCGAGTATTTTCCCTGATTTGGGTTTTGGTGAAGCCATAGAAAGGGATGGGAATTGGAATGGTGGAGTTGGGTGGGGATATAAGAAGATGCGGATATTAAATGGGTGCGTGATAAGGGGCAGAGCAATAAATTTGAATAGACAGCATATCTGACAGAGTTTAGGACAGTGTGGTAGCAGAGATGTAAGGAGTTTGGGAGTTACGTGATCCCAATCTCTATGGATGTATTTTACCTACCTCTTCTTCTGTCACCTGCTTCTTTCAACTTCAAAATCAACCTGCAAATCCCCAAATTCCCTACTGCCTCTGCTACACATTTTGAACTCGTATCAATTCTAACCAATTTAAATAATCAACGTGAATTCCTCATAAATAGCCTCCAATGCCTTCTGCCATCCTTTCCTTTTCTTTCATTAATGCCCATACTTTAAACTTTGAATTTCGAATACATCATCAGATTAAAACTTTCTACTTTATATATTTAACTACTTGTCGTCTCATATCACCTGTTTTTTGTTTCTGTAATCTCAAGCCGGATCATCATACTTGTTAGAATTTAATTTTGCATCTAATTTTATTTTGGTATAAAAACTTTTGGTAAAGTGACACTAAAGTTTAATTCTTTTTTCTTCAAAAAAGTTTTCTCTAATATTTTTTATATCTCTGGCAAAGACTCACCACGGAGGGACACTGGTATTTAGTCTGTACGGAAAACTCGTCAAACTAAATTTAAATAACTCCAATTATAAGAGCTAAAATCAATTGTTAAGAAGACCGACAGACATGTGAGTTCAGCAAAAAACTAAAAATGAATTATATTGATAATGATCAATGTGTGTAAGAAATGACCACAACGAATTTATCTTTTACATTGAATTTCAAGATTAAGTTGGACCCTTTGTAATTATGTATCTGAAAATTTTCAGCCACCTCAATGGAAATTTCACTATAATTACGGAGGGAAATAAGACCTCGTATGTATATATACAATAAACTTTCCTCATCATAATCGAAAAATTTATAATAAATTTTTTCTATGAAAAATGAGTCAAATTTCTGTTGTATACTATTATTTTTCATAAAACAGGAGAATTTTACATCTTGTCATGTTTTGTCATAACAATTGAGTTGATCAATGGAGATTGTTTTAAGATTTATCCAATATGAGTCTAAAGCAAAATGTCCAAAATTCGATCTAGGCTCAATTTAATTTCAAGAGAGGACTAATCATAGGTTATAAAGCATACAAACTTCGAGCTCCAAGTTGAAAGAACGAAGAGGAAAAATTAAAGAAAGACAATAGCCAAAGAACATATGAAAAGTACATTTTTTAGTCTTGAATACCTTAATACAATTTTCTTTTTCTAGATAAAATAATGCTAACCTGTCTTGGCCACCTACAATCTAATTCCATGGGTCAACCTGACTCATACCGTTTTTATTATTAGGTTTTGTGTGTCAACTATGAGTTGATAAATTTGCCCGTAAAAACCCAAAATCATTAATGAAAGTTTGCATATTATATATTTTTAAAAATGCAGTAAAACTGTTATAGAATACATTTTATACAAATTAAATAGTAAATTAAAATTAAAACTAATTAAAAAATTTGAAGCTAGTAAATGATATTGACCAATACCATGAAATAAAATAAAAAAGTTAGGTATATCGTGGAATTAATTCACCATAAACCTGATCAATTTCTCTTTAAACACCTATGACCGGGTCAGCTAGCAAGTTACAAACAACAACAAAATAAAAATAAAAATAAAAAAAGCTTGAGACAAATTAAGTCTATATAGTCCAACTCATTTATCAACCTTTAAAAAAAACAATAATTTTATAAGCAAAAGTCAATTTTAAAATAAAAGTATAAATTGTCGGTGGCAATCCTTCCAAAGTGATTTAATATTAGATGGTCTATATTATTAAGTTCTATGAATTAGTTTTGATAAAGTTAAGTTAAAAAAAAATTACTTCACAGGATTGATTTAAAATTCCATTTATGTTTAAATACAACATTTTAAAGGTGAACCGAGAATACTTTTTTTACCAATACATAAAATATAAATGAGATTTTGCAAGTCAATTATATAAATCAGTTCTATCTAATGCATTCTTTTTAGTGCTTCTAAACTTAATTCAATGAAAATAAAAAATTATCTATGTCCTGGGAAATTTTACAACAAATTAAATATGTATTTTACCGGGTATCAAAATTTCAGCATAGTGTAGTGTAATTCCAAAGCCAAATTTAAACGCTGTGCAATTCAAAATCAATTCTAAATGTTTCAAGTTTTCGATTGACCAGAAACTCAAATAATCGGGTATTTTCGACTTGGATTTTAGGGACATGATTTCCACATAATATTTCACGACTACGAAGGATTTAATTACTAATATGGTGATTGAAGAGACACAAGATGCAACCTAACCAAAATTATCAATCATATTTGTGATACATTATATATTTTCATATGATCGCTAATGTCACACAATATTCTTAATGATTGAATGTGAGGAAACAAAGGGATTAGTTTAATTATCGATAGGTATTACTTACCTTTCTAACACTTATGTAATTTGAGAATAATATTGTGAAAAAAGACAAATGGTACTAACCAAAATATTCTATGCGAAAAGATCCAAAAAAGGTAAAGTAGTAGTGGGAACATAAAAAAGTTAGATGACAAATGCAATCGAAATGACATTTTTGCTTAATAAAACAACTCTCACTTATATGCGAATTAGGTATGATTATACACGACACCATGATTAAAGGCAACACAATTATGATTAATGGCGCATTTTCTAGAAGCAATACAACATTTTGATTGAGGCTGTCTATGCAACATCTGTTTATCTTTCAATGTCTAATTATTGAAATATTTTTCCACATTAAAAATCATGTTTATTTCAATATTATAAAAAAAAAGTCATTGAGTTATGTGCTATTTTAATTTTCCAGAAACCAACACAGACTACAACTAATGAGCATGTTGTGACACCGTGAAAGAAAAAAAATTATTTTTAACGTATCTAAACTTTTTTATTAATTTGACATTTTCTTTTTCTACTAGCATGTCTGCGCAGATACTGTTAGAATAGATTCTAATCATAACTCTGATATCATGATAAAAAGTAGGCTTTAAGTCTAATTTAACTCCTTAAAACTGGTTTAAAAGTTGAAGTTTGCACCCATTTATATATATATCTTAGTGGATGTGAAACTTTCAAAACTTTGTGTCAAATAAATGTAAATGTATGTCATGATACCATTATTACTCTAAATGAAACTAGTTTATGATTAAGCTAAAAAAATATTATAACGTCATATGCAAAAACAAATCAATATGTAATAAACTTCAAGAAAAAGAATAAGAAAAATATATATTACTTAATAGATATTCAGAATTTTTACCCCAACTAACACATATGTTATTAAATTGCTTTTAAGAATAAGTTTTATCTTTATTTATTATAATAACCCAGTTTATTGTGCAAATGTTATTTAAAGATAAAAATATATTTTCTAACAACGTTTATTAACATGTGTGATAGTTAGAAAAAAAAAAAAAATTGGATGGATTAATTGTGAGTTCTCTTATTAAACCAATGTGTATGAGTGGTAGTTGTTTCAAATAGGCTTCCTTTTCAAGTGCATTTACGGTTTTCATTAAGAATATAAATAACATTAGCTACGATTCTTCATTGCATCAACTCACGTATCGTATAAGTGTGTGTAAGTGTTAACATAGAAAAAGGACAATCAATTTAATTAGATATAAAATTATGACACGTTATTTATTACTGGTTAATTAGTGATATATTTAATTCAAGGTTTATTTTTAACACCGCTTGAACCCGAAACCAAATAGAGCAACATTAAATTTTATATAAGAATTATATTTGTCATAGTCTCTATTGTTGAGTACTAATAAGTTCTGATCGAAGATAAGTTTATAATGTCGCTTACAAATTAGGTAGATAACTTTGTTTGGCATTGTTTATAAAATTTGGTCCGTGGGCCGAAATACCGTCATGGAAAAGTAAGTTTTCCCTCAAGGTTATATCTTTCTGCACCTCCCTTTTTTTCTTTCTGCAGACTTATAAAATTTTTCATTCTCAAAATACCCTTCATTAAAATTAGGTTTAAACCCTTAACCCTATCCCCTCACACAGAGTTTCCATTGTTCTCGACACACCTTCATGTTCAAGCTCGTTCACCTTTCACACTTCCTAACGTCCCCATTTGTCATCCTTTCATGTATTGGATGATGGATTGGTTGTTCTGCGATTGGGGCAGATTTTGTATGTTTTTATTGTATTTTAGATTTCATAATGTATTTTTGTATGTTTTTATTGTATTTTGGATTTCATAATTTGGTATTATTATTACTATTACTATTATTATCATTATTTATTATAATAATGTATTTTGTATTTATTGTACTTGCTAGTAAAAATATTTCCTTATTATTATTACGAGTAATTCAAATATCTTAATCATAATATCATATTTTTCCTTAAATATGCATTAATGTCAGATAAATAAACTGATCAATAACAAATAAAAACAATTTCACCTAATATTTAAGAATTATTCTGATATAAATACACTTTCCCAAAAGAACATTCATTCATTTCTTTCATCCCCGTCGACCACGACGACTGAAACGACGCCAAAAATCCAGACCGGAAAAGGAGAAGGGCCGATCGGGTGTCTTCATTCTAGCGACAATACAAAAGAAGAACGAAACGAAGTGAGAGGCCGGAGGGCACGGAAAAGAGTCGAGTCGATCAGGCTCGACGACCAGGAGAAGCAAAACGAAATTCGGATTTGGTCGAAAAAGAAGCAACGCTATGGATACCATCACCGATCAAAATCGATCAAGAAGAATCTTTCTAAATCACTTCGGGTCAGCGGGGCCTTCAAGCATCCGAAATACGCCGGGTTGTAAATGACATAGCGTTCCTGATAGAAAATGACGACTCCTTCAGAAAAAGGAAATTATTTCAGTTCTTTTTCCCGAAGAAGTCCCGCTCCGACGGCCCGACGAGTCATCTATTTAAAAGGACTCTCCCTGCAGTGCGCCCCTCTTTTAATTATTCGGTCATGCATACTTATGAATAGAAAGAACCAAATGCATTTCGACCCCGTCGTAGTTCTCAATCATTTCGTGGCACCGGGCATGGCTCAACCATCAACGATGGGGGAAGCGAAAAAGGGAAGAGGCTTAGATAAGAGAATACGTTCTCGCATCGCTTTTTTTGTAGAAAGCTCGACCAGCGAGAAAAAGTGTTTGGCCAAGCCAAAAAGAAGTTGACCCAACTTCATTCGCTTGGCGAATGATCTTCGCTTTGCGGAACAACAAAAACAACCATCTCGCTTCTTCATTTCTTCGGTGGTAGCAGTTCCTGATAGAAAAATGACACTCCTTAAGAAAAAGGAAATTATTCAGTTCTTTTTCCCCAAGAAGTCCGCTCGACGGGCCCGACGAGTATCTATTTAAAAGGACCCGCCCTGCATTGCGCTCCTCTTTTATATTCGGTCATGCAATACTTATTGAATAGAAAGAACCAAATGCATTTCGACCCCGTCGTAGTTCTCAATCATGTCGTGGCACCGGGCGGTGGCTGAACCATCAACGATGGGGGGGGGAGCGAAAAACAGGGGAAGAGGCTTAGATAAGAGAATACGTTCTCGGCATCGCTTTTTTTTGTAGAAAGCTCGACCAGGAGAAAAAGTGTTTGGACGGAAGCAAAAAAAGAGGTAGACCCAACTCATTCGCGTGGCTAAAGATCTTCGACTTCGCGAGAAACAACAAAAACCAAACCCATCTCGCTCTTTCCTTTCTCGGTGCTACCTTTTCTTTCCAGGAATGAGTGGTTTTGAATAAGAACCTTTCTGTTGAGATGTCCGGGAACCACTCGTAGGTCAATTAAGGACAAATGTGTAACCTCATGGGTAAGGATAAAGTATTGGAATTGATAGAGAAATTCATAGACATAGGTAGGATAGGAGAGCTATGCATTCCTACGTATGTCTATAATCATCTCTATTTCCTATCCTACCTATGTCTATGAATTTCTCTATCAATTCCATTACCTTATCCTTACCCATGAGGTTACAAATTTGATCCTTAATGGACATAGGAGTGGTTCCCGGGCATCTCAACATAGAGGTTCTTATCAAAAACCAACTCTATCCCTGGAGGAAAAAGGTAGCACCAAAGAAAGGAAAGAGCGAGTGGTTGTTTTTGTGTTCCCGCGAAGCGAAGATCATTCGCCAGGCGAATGAAGTGGGTCAACCTCTTTTTGGCTTCGGCCAAAACAACTTTTTCTCACTGGTCGGACCTTTTACCCCCTCGTCGACCACGACGTGAAACGACGCCACAAATGTAGACCCGGAAAGGAGACGGGCCGGTGGTGGGGATTGGTAAAGTCGGCCGATCAGGTGTCTTCATTTCGCGACAATAAGAAGAAGAACGAAACGAAGAGTGAAGAGGCCGGGGGAGGAGCCAGGGAAAAGATCGAGTCGATCAGGCTCGACGATCGGAGAAGCAAAACGAAATTCGGAAATTTGGCCGGAAAACGAAGAGCAACGTATGGATACCGTCACCGTCAATAAGAATCTTTCCAAATCACTCGGGTCAGCGGGCCTTCAAGCATCGAATACGCCGGGGTTGTAAATGACATAGCGTTCCTGATAGAAAATGACGACTCCTTCAGAAAACCCCCCATGGAAGTTATTTCAGATCTTTTTCCCCAAGACAGTCCCGCTCCGACGGCCCACGAGTCATCTATTTAAAAGGGACCCTGTCTGCAGTTGCGCCCATCTTTTAATTATTTCCGTCATGCAATACTTATTGAAAGAAAGAAACCAAATGCATTTCGACCCCGTCGTCGGGCGTGGATGAACCATCAACGTGGGCGGAGCGAAACAGGGAAGATGGCTTAGATAAGAGAATACGTTCTCGCATCGCTTTTTTTCTAGAAAGATCGACCAGCGAGAAAAAAGGTTTGGCCAGCCAAGAAGAGGTTGACCCACTTCATTCGCTTGGCGATGATCTTCGCTTCGCGGGGAACAACAAAACAACCATCTCGCTCTTCTTTCTTCGGGCTACCCTTTTTTTTCCAAGGGATGAGTTGGTTTTGATAAGAACCTTTCTGTTGAGGATGCCCGGGAACCACTCGTAGGTCAATTAAGGATCAAATGTTGTACCTCATGGGTAAGGATAAAGTATTGGAATTGATAGAGAAATTCATAGACATAGGTAGGATAGGAGAGCTATGCATTCCTACGTATGTCTATAATCATCTCTATTTCCTACCTACCTATGTCTATGAATTTCTCTATCAATTCCATTACCTTATCTTACCCATGAGGTTACAACATTTGATCCCTTAATTGACCTAGGAGTGGTTCCCGGGCATCTCAACAGGAAAGGTTCTTATCAAAAACTCAACTCATCCCTTGGAAAGAAAAGGCGCACCGAAGAAAGAAAGAAAGAGCGAGATGGTTGTTGTTGTTTTTCCCGCCGAAGCGAATCATTCGCCAGGCGATGAAGGTGGGTCAACCTCTTTTTTGGCTTCGCCAAACACTTTTTCTCCTTGTCGAGCTTTCTTCCCCGTCGACCACGACGACTTAAACGACGCCAAAAATTCAGACCCGGAAAGGAGAAGGGCCGGTTGTGGGCATTTGGTAAAGTCGGGCCGATCGGGTGTCTTCATTCCAGCGACAATACAGAAGAAGAACGAAACGAAGTGAGAGGCCGGAGGGCAGGGAAAAGAGTCGAGTCGATCAGGCTCGAACGACCAGGAGAAGCAAAACGAAATTCGGATTTGGCCGAAAAAAAGCAATCGCTATGGGTACCATCACCGATCACCATCGATCAAGAAGAATCTTTCTAAATCACTTCGGGTCAGCGGGGCCTTCAAGCATCCGAAATACGCCGGGGTTGTAAATGACATAGCGTTCCTGAATAGAAAATGACGACTCCTTCAGAAAAGGAAGTTATTTCAGTTCTTTTCCCCAAGAAGTCCCGCTCCGACGGCCCGACGAGTCATCTATTTAAAAGGACCCTCCCTGCAGTGCGCCCTCTTTTAATTATTCGGTCATGCAATACTTATTGAATAGAAAGAACCAAATGCATTTCGACCCCGTCGTAGTTCAATCATTTCGTAGGACCGGGCGTGGCTGAACCATCAACGATGGGGGAGCGAAACAGGGAAGAGGCTTAGATAAGAGAATACGTTCTCGCATCGTCTTTTTTGTAGAAAGCTCGACCAGCGAGAAAAAGTGTTTGGCCGAAGCCAAAAAGAGGTTGACCACTTCATTCGTTGGCGAATGATCTTCGCTTCGCGGAACAACAAAAAAACCATCTCGCTCTTCCTTCTTCGGGGCTACCTTTTTCTTTCCAAGGAATAGAGTTGGTTTTGATAAGAACCTTTCGTTGAGGATGCCGGGAACCACTCCTAGGTCAATTAAGGATCAAATGGGTAACCTCATGGGTAAGGATAAAGTAATGGAATTGATAGAGAAATTGCATTGACATAGGTAGGATCGAGAGAGCTAGCATTCCTACCTATGTCTATAATCATCTCTATTCCCTATCCTACCTATGTCTATTGAATTTCTCTATCATTCCATACCTTATCCTTACCCATGAGGTTACAAACATTTGATCCTTAATTGACCTAGGAGTGGTTCCCGGGCTCTCCAACAGAAAGGTTCTTATCAAAAACCAAATCTATCCCTTGGAAAGAAAAACATGCACCGAAGAAAGGAAAGAGCGGATGGTTATGTGGTTGTTCCCGCGAAGCGAAGGCATTCGCAGGCAAATGAAGTGGGCAACCTCTTTTTTGGCTTCGGCCAAACACTTTTTCTCACTGGTCGACCTTTCTACCCCGTCGACCACGAGGACTGAAACGACGCCACAAATGTAGACTCGGAAAGGAGAAGGGCCGGTGGAAGGCATTTGGTAAAGTCGGCCCGATCAGGTGTCTTCATTCCAGCGACAATACAGAAGAAGAACGAAACGAAAGTGAAGGCCGGAGGGCAGGGAAAAAGAGTCGAGTCGATCAGGCTCGACTGACCGGGGAGAAGCCAAACAAATTCGGATTTGGCCGAAAAAGAAGAGCAACGCTATGGATACCGTCACCGAACAAGAAGATCTTTCTAAATCACTTCGGGGTCAGCGGGCCCTTCAAGCATCCGAAATACGCCGGGGTTGTAAATGACATAGCGCTCCTGAAAGAAAAAAATCACGACTCCTCTCAGAAAAGGAAGTTATTCAGTTCTTTTTCCCCAAGAAGTCCCGCTCCGAGGGCCAGACGAGTCATCTATTTTACAAGACCCTCTCGCAGTGCGCCCCTCTTTTAATTATTCGGTCATGCAATACTATTGAATAGACAAGAACCAAATGCATTTCGACCCCGTCGTCAGTTTGAATCATTTCGTGGCACCGGGACGTGGGGAACCATAACGATTGGGGAGCGAAACAGGGAAGATGCTTAGATTAAGAGAATACGTTCTGCATCGCCTTTTTTTTTTTGTAGAAGAAGCTCGACCAGCGAGAAAAAGGTTTGGCCGAAGCCAAAAAGAGGTCGGGCGACCCATTCATTTCGCGTGTGGCGAATGGATCGTCGCTTAGCGAGAACAACAAAAACAACCATCTCGCTCTTTCCTTTCTTCGGTGCTACCTTTTTCTTTCCAAGGAATAGAGTTGGTTTTGATAAGAACCTTTCGGTTGAGGATGCCCGAGAACCACTCGTAGGTCAATTAAGGATCAAATGTTGTAACCTCATGGGTAGTAAGAGAAAGTGTGGAATTGGATAGAGAAATTCATTGGACATAGGTAGAGCGGGAGCTTGCTTCATACCTAGTCTATAATCATCTCTATTCCTATCATACCTATGTCTTGAAACATTCTCGCTCAATTCCATTACATTATCCTTACCCATGAGGACAAACATTTGATCCTTAATTGACCTAGGAGTGGTTCCCGGGCATCTCAACAGAAAGGTTCTTATCAAAACCAACTCTATCCCTTGGAAAGAAAAACGTAGCACCGAAGAAAGGAAAGAGCGAGATGGTTATTTTTGTTGTTCCCGCGAAGCGAAGATCATTCGCCAGGCAAATGAAGTGGGTCAACCTCTTTTTTGGCTTCGGCCAAACACTTTTTCTCACTGGTCGACCCTTTCTCCCCGTCGACCACGATGACTGAAGACGCCACAATGAGCCCGGAAAAGGATAAAGGGCGGTGGTAGGCAGTTGGTAAAGTCGGCCCGGATCAGGTGTCTTCATTTCCAGCGACAATACAGA